ATCTTTTTTATGGCTGAGTAATATTCCATTGCATACATATGTAATGGATCACAGCCTTGTCATGGTGAAAGGTCCTGCATAAATTAATGAAGCTCTGAGCCATACCATGCAGGGCCACCCAAGATGGTTGGGTCCCCCTGAAGAGTTCTGAAAAAATGTGGTCCACGGGAGAAAGAAATGGCAACGCACCCTGGTATTCTTGCCTGAAAAACCCCTTGGACAGTATGAGAAGGCAAAAAGATATGACAATGGAAGATGAGCCTCCCAGGTTGGAAGGTGCCCACTATGCTACTGGGAAAGAGCAGAGGACAATTACTAATACTCCAGAAAGAAAGAAGTGGCTGGGCCAAAGCAGAAATAATGTTCAATTGTGGATGTGTCTGGTGGGGAAAGTAACATCCAATGCTGTAAAGAACAACATCTCGTAGGAACCTTCACGAATTGAGGTAAATTGGACGTGGTTGAGCAGGAGATTGCAAGAGTGAACATTGACATCTTAAGTATCAGTGAACTAAAATGGGCAGGAATGGGTGAATTTAATTCAAATGACCATTATATCTACTATTGTGGGTGAGAATCCCTTAGAAGAAATGGAGTAGCCCTCATAGTCAACAAAAGAGTCTGAAGTGCAGCATTTGGATATAACCTCAAAAACGACAGAATGAATGATTTTGGTTCATTTCCAAGGCAAACAAATCAACATCAGAGTAATCCAAGTCTGTGCTGCAACCACTGATGCTGAAGAAACTGAAGTTGATCGGTTCTATGAAGACCCACAAGACCTTCTAGAGCTAACACCAAAAAAGATGTCCTTTTCATCATAGGAGGTTGGAATGCAAAAGTAGGAAGTCAAGAGATACCTGGAGTAACAGGCAAATTTGGCCTTGGAGTACAAAATGAAGCAGAGGAAAGATTAGCAAAGTTTTGTCAAGAGAGCCTGCTGGTCATAGCAAACACCCTTTTCCAACAGCCCAAGGGACAGTTATACACGTGAACATCACAAAATAGTCAATACCGAAATCAGATTGATTATTTTCTTTGCAGCCAAAGATGGAAAAGCTCTATATAGTCAGCTGAAACAAGGCCTGGAGCTGACTGTGGCACAGATCATGAGCTCCTTATTTCAAAATTCAAGCTTAAGTTGAAGAAAGTAGGGAAAACCACTAGGCCATTCAGATATGACCTAAATCAAATCCCTTATGATTATACAGTGACGGTGATGAATATATTCAATGGACTAAGTTGAATTAAAGTTCAAGATCTGGTAGACAGAGTGCCTGAAGAACTGCGGACAGAGGTTCATAATGTTGTACAGGAGGCAGAGACTGAAACCATCCCAAAGAAAAAGAAATTTAAGAAGCCAAAGTGGTTGTCCAGGAGGCTTTACAAATAGCTGAGGAAAGAAAAGAAACGAAAAGCAAGGGAGAAAGGGAAAGATACACCCAATTGAACGCAGAGTTCCAGATAAGAACAAGGAGAGCCTTAGCTCATTGCCTCATTTAGGTCCTTCTTAAATGAACAAAGCAAAGAAATAGAGGAAAAGAATAGAACGGGCAAGATTAGACATCTCTAAGAAAATGGAATATATCAAGGGATGGAATATATGCAAGGATGGGCACAATAAAGGACAGAAATGGTAAGGATTTAACAGAAGCAAAAGAGATTAAGAAGAGGTGGCAAGAACACACAAAAGAACTATACAGAAAAGGTCTTAATGACCTGTATAACTATGCCTGTGTGGTTATTCATGTAGAGTTGGACATCCTGGAGTGTGAAGTCAAGTGGGACTTAGGAAGCATTACAACCAACAAAGCTAGTGGAGGTGATAGAATTCCAGCTGAGCTATTTGAAATCCTAACAGATGTTGCTGTTAAAAGTGCTGCACTCAATATGCCAGCAAATTTGAAAATCTCGGCAGTGACCACAGGACTGGAAAAGGTCAGTTTTCATTCCAGCCCCAAAGAAGGGCAATGCCAAAGAATGTTCAAACTACCCTACAACTGCATTCATTTCAAATGCTATTATAGTAAGATTATGCTCAAAATCCTTCAGCTAGACTTCAACAATATGTGAACTGAGAGCTTCCAGATGTACAACTGGGCTTAAAAAAGGCAGAGAAACCAGAGATCAAATTGCCAACATAGAGAAAGCAAGGGAATTCCAGAAAAACGTCTACTTCATTGACTACGCTAAAGTCTTTGCGTGGATCATAACAAACTATGGAAAATTCTAAAGGAGATGGGAATACCAGATGACCTTACCTGTCTTCTGGGAAACCTGTATGCAGATGTTATGTTAGAAGCAATGTTAGAACTGAACATGGAACAACTGACTGGCTCAAAATAGGGAAAGGAGTATTGCAAGACTATATATTGTCACCGTGTTTATTTAACTGACATGCAGAGTACATAACACAAAATGCTGGGCTGAGTGAATCACAAGCTGGAATCAAGATTGCTGGGAGAAATATCAACAACCTCAGATATGCAGATGACACCACTCTAATGGCAGAAAGTGAAGAGGAATTAAAGCGCCTCTTAATGAAGGTGAAAGAGGAGAATGAAAAAACTTGCTTGAAACTCAGCATTCAAAAAAGTAAGATAATGGCATCTGGTCCCATCACTTCATAGCAAATAGAAGGGGAAAAAGTGGAAGCAATGACAGATTTTATTTTCTTGGGCTCCAAAATCACTGTGGACAGTTACTGCAGTCATGAAATTAAAAGACACTTGCTCCTTGATAGGAAAGCTATGACAAACCTAGACAGTGTATTAAAAAGCAGAGTCATCACTTTGCCAACAAACTTCCATATGGTCAAAGCTATGGTTTTTTTCAGTTGTCATATGCGGATGTGAGAGTTGGACCATGAAGAAGGCTCAGAGCCAAGGAGTTAACAATTTTGAGTTGTGGTGCTAGAGAAGATGCTTTTTGTTGTTGTTGTTGTTGGACAAGACTCTTTAGAGTTCCTTGGACAGCAAGGAAGTCAAACCAGTCAATCTTAAAGGAAATCATTCCTGAATATTCACTGGAAGGACTGATGCTGAAGCTGAAGCTCAAGTACTTTGGCCACCTGATTCTGACTCATTGGATCTTGACTCAAAGATCTTAGTGTTGGGAAAGATTGAAGGCAGGAGGAGAAGGCGATGACAGAGGATGAGATGGTTGGATGGCGTCACTGATTCAGTGGACATGAGTTTGAGCAAACTCAGGGAGATAGTGAAGGACAGGGAAGCCTGGCGTGCTGCAGTCCATGGGGTCACAAAGAATCGGATACAACTGAGTGACTGAACACAAATTTGTTTTCTGGCTAAAAGAATTTAACCCAACTAAGGAGGAGAGAGAATCTTCCTTAAGAAAGTGATGACATAAAAGAAGAAGCTTGAATAATGAGTCAGAGTTGGATAGGTTGAGATATAGGAAGTAGAAAGGAAAAAAATTGTAAACAAAGGGAAAATTATATGACAACATGAATTAAGAAATAGGTGTCACATCTGAGGAAGACTGGAGGAGAATCAAGCAAAGGGGAGAATGCTTCCCTAAAGTATGCAGATCATAGGTTATATAAGATTACTTGAGAGGTGATATGTTTTCCTAAAAGCAGAGTCAAAGTGAAAAGTTTAAATAGTTGTAGGTGTTGATGTAGGCAACATGATCATTTTTCTATTTTAGAAAGATCTCTCTGGTTGCAGAATGGTGAATGAATTTAGATGGGATGCAAGGTGGGTTGCTAGGAAGCCAGATTTGAGGCTACTATCTCATTCTCAAAAGTTTAATGATGCTTAGCTTGTACAAATTTTCTCTTATTATACCTTTGAGTATTGCTTTGCTATATTTGCTCTTTTTCTGCAAAAGATCCCCTCATTAGTGAAATCTTTGTAATGTGTCCAATTTATCTGCCAACTCCTCTAATATTTTCATTTTCATTCAATATTGCTTTAATAGTTGATTTTTAAAAAATTCTGTTTAGTGTTTCTCAAATTTGATCTATCCATCATTTAATCAAGTTTGGGCAGCATTGTTTGTTTGTTTGTTTTCCATGTCCAATAGAGCTGTACTTTTAATTAAAATTTCTTATATCAGTTGGTTTATATCAGTTTGTTCTTGTTTAATAGAAAATATTTCCCTTGTATCCTACTAAACATAAGAGGTGAATCTTTTAATGAATCATCCTTTTACTTCACAAAGTTTGGTATAATAGAATATCATTTATCCAAGAGTCTAAACATGAATATATGATGGAATTATTACATACTTGTTATATCCTTATTTTTTTAAAGAAAAAAACATTGCCCACTTAAAAAAACCATTTATTATAGTAATTGAAGAATGACTTCCTGAAGTGAATGATCCATGGTAATGCTGAGTTCTACTGGGCTGCATCTGTGAATGTGAGATTTGAAATGGGTGGATGAAGAATTCCTTTAGCTGATGCCATTTTATACTGTGAAAAACTCATAAATTTCGTGGGACAAATGTAATTCATTCCTGAGCAAAAGATGGCTCAGATGTAGAGGCTGAAAGAGAAATCTGAATAAGAACAGCAGAGGAAGGAAAAGCAGATGATGGATCTTTTCATCAGCACTGTGGCACTGTTCCATTCTGTTTTTGTGCTGTTATGACATCACACCCTGTTGATAAGAGATTCTAGCCACATCCTCCTCTTCAGATCAAGGAGGATTTCCTGGGAAATAAAAACTTCATTTCAAAGAGTAATTTGTCATTTTTATAAGTCTGTCGTTTTTTAAAGGAAATGAGTGTAAAGCAAATTCTCTCTGTGTTTGAATTGATAAGTAAAATATGGTTGCTGTGTTCCCATTATTAGATATTAGTTATATGTTATTTTTCCATTTTCAAGTTAATCCAGATGTTTTTCTTGGGTGTAAAATGATGGCTTCATGTTTAGTATTCTTCCGTTATTTTGCACGAGACATTTATATTAGATAATACTCTCCTAGGATATATAAAACCTTAAAAAATAATTTATTTTTTCTATGCCATAGGTGCCACATAAGATTCTAGGATGCCTTTTGAAAAAATCTTTGTCCGGTCGGAATGTCTGCTATCAAAAACTCTACAAAAAATAAATGCTGGAGAGGGTGTGGAGAAAAGGGAACCCTCTTACACATTGGTGGGAATGCAAACTAGTACAGCCACAATGGAGAACAGTATGGAGATTCCTTAAAATACTGGAAATAGAACTGCCATACGACCCAGCAATCCCTCTGCTGGGCACACACCCTGAGGAAACCAGAACTGAAAGAGACACATGTACCCCAATGTTCATCGCAACACCGTTTACAATAGATAGGAGATGGAAGCAACCTAGATGTCCATTGGCAGACAAATGGATAAGAAAGTTGTGCTACATACACACAATGGAGTATTACTCAGCTATTAAAAAGAATGCATTTAAGTCAGTTCTAATAAGGTAGATGAAACTGGAACCTATTATACAGAGTGAAGTAAGTCAGAATGAAAAACATCAATACAGTATATTAACACATATATATGGAATTTAGAAAGATGGTAATGATAACCCTGTATGCAAGAACAGATACAAAGACAGATACAAAGAACAGACTTCTGGACTCTGTGGGAGAAGGCGAGGGTGGGATGATCTGAGAGAACAGCATTGAAACATGTGTATTACCATATGTGAAATAGATGACCAGTCCAAGTTCGATGCATGAAATGGGGCACTCAAAGCCAGTGCTCTGGGACAACCCAGAGGGATGGGAGGGGAGGGAGGTTGGGAGGGGCTCAGGATGGGGGACACATGTACACCCGTGCCTGATTCATGTCAATTTATGGCAAAAACCACCACAATATTGTAAAATAATCAGCTTCCAATTAAATTAATTAATTTTTAAAAAATGAAATAAAAAATCTTTGTACTTGTTTGAAGTTAAGATACTGAAATCTAGAAATACCACATTGTTCTGTAAGAGGTCAAATCCTGGACATTCTGGTGAAATGATCTTCCGTTGGAAAAGTCTTTTACAGGAAACTCTTCTTTGAACCTTACTTAGAATTTTACACCTTTCTCTTGAACTTCAGAGCACCTTTTGCTCTTTCTTGATTTCTTATAGCATCTCCAGGTGGACTCACCATTTAGAGTGTGTAAGTAGCAGCAGAGAGATTGCTGGCTGCCACTATAGCTGGCAGCACTAGTCAACATTCTGCAACTGTCAGACAAGTAATTTCATCATCTTGTAGATCCAATATTTTCTTCACACAGCACAGTTTTTAAGCAAGAGAGGCAAATCAACATAGATGGTTTCATGCTTGCAGAGTTGAAATTATCAAGACGGAAAGAGACGGCAGGATGAAACCATATGAAGATGCTGTCAGGCAGATAGGCTCAATATATCCCTTTCAGCCATCCCAAAAGGAGTTTATCACCATCTGTCAGCTACAGAAACTCCCCTCAACTTGCACCACACTGTCTCCCCCACCTCTGGCTTCTGTTTGCACTTACACTCTTTATCTGGTCCACAGTCTTAAAGTGTTTATCTAATGGAGACCTGATTAAAAAAAAAAAAAAGAAACAACTGCAATGTTTCTCTAATTCTGATTCAGTAATTCTTTTTCAGTCATCACAACATTATGTTCTAAATAATCCCATATTTTCATCACTGTATATGGAACCTCATACAAAGTCTACTTTCCAAGTGTGATATTTAACCAGACACAAATGTCTTCCTTCGTAAGGTACTGTTTTTCAGTTTGGATCCTTATGACCCATCTGAGTCTACATGGATTTTTATTTTCTGCCTACTCCTTCTTGAATGTACAATAGCATATCACATAGCATTATCTGGTGTTGGGTAGCAATTAGTATTGTTCTTAATCCTCTCAGAGATGTGGTTGCTGGTTGATACGTCTCCTGTATCTGAGGTTGACAGTGGCTTTGTGGATTGTGTCTCACTGTTACTGGTGCACAGCAAATGTTTAATAAAATTCCCTCCAACTCCAAGCAGTCTAGGCAAGATTAAAGGCTTTTGTAAGTAGAGTTATGTTTCAGGAAATGAAGAACTGTGAGACCAATCGGTTTTTAAAAACTGATTTTGAGATGACTGAGGCCCTGCTTCCCAGAAGAGGGAGATGGTTGGGTAACAGTGTTCCTCTTTGGAGCAGTGAAAACATGCTCTCTTGTTGATTGTGGCAATAGACACAGAATGCTCCAACTAAAAGCCATTGAGCCTCGTGGGGCAGAGAAAGGCAAGGAGGGTAAACCGGCACAGACACGGAGGAGTAAATCTCATGGCATGTTCTGGAAATGGTCATTACTCTATAATCATTTACTTTGATTATTAATTTTTTAACTTTTTTTTTGCTGATTTCATTAGATTGCTATTCATTCCATTTTTAATTTTGTTTTTTCCCCCTTGTTCATTTGAGTATTTTACCAAACTTTTCTGTCTCACTCTATTCCCTTTTTCTGTGTTCACATGACATCTGTATATTGTGATTTGCAAATAAGACTCCAACTCTTTACTCAAGAAAGGCATATTGTTCCCCACCATGGTGTTCTGCTCCCTGCATGTCTCAGCCCCAAGAGAGACATCTCACTCTTCCTGGGACCTCTTTACAATCTCTGCCTCAAGGTCCTCTGATGCTGGCCCCTTGGGTTTTGCTCAGCTCAGAGGGAGGAAACTCAACAGAGTCTCTGCCTATTGGAACCCGTTCCCTCCCACATCCAGTCTGTCTGTGTGAGAAGCTGACAATCTCGAGAGGAACCAGGCAGGAGTGGGAAGGGAAGACAGGTGTGGAACACTCCAGAAGACCTGAAACGTTCAATCTGCTCCAGAAAATGACTATCAGATTAGATGTGAGCAAAAGACCTGTAAAAAGAATTAGGAAAAATATTAAAATCTACAAGGATATTTCTCTCAGAATGTGTCACAATTTTCTTTAAATCCTCACTCCATTTTAAGGAAATCAAGAACTGAAAATCAGAGAGGAGGCATGTGGTGTGGTTTATACAGGAAAAATAACACAGGAATTATGCCTTGTGTGGCTGATACCACACACAGTTATAGCTATAGCCCTATGGCTGGTGATAACTGCATGAGGACAGGTATAGAACATTTCCAGCATCACAGAGAGTTCCACTGTACACGACTGCTTGCAGGGGTACCCAGTCACAGGTCTGTATAGTCAAAGCTATGGTTTTTCCAGTAGTTATGTATGGATGTGAGTGTTGGACTATAAAGAAGGCTGAGCACCAAAGGATTGATACTTTGGAAATGTGGTGTTGGAGAAGACTCTTAAGAGTCCCTTGGACTGCAAGGAGATCAAACCAGTCTATCCTAAAGGAAATCAATCCTGAGTATTCATCAAATGAATGCATTCAGTTTATGCTGAAACTGAAGCTCCAATACTTTGGCCACCTGATGGGAAGAGCTGACGCATTAGAAAAGACCCTGATGCTGAGAAAGACTGAAGGCAGGAGGCGAAGGGGACGACAGAGGACAAGACGGTTGGATGGCATCACCGACTCAATGAACATGAGTTTGAGCGAGCTCTGGGAGTTGGTGATGGACAGGGAGGCCTGGGGTGCTGCAGTCTATGGGATCTCAAAGAGTCAGACATGACTGAGCGACTAAACAACAACTCACAGAAAAGTCCTCACCTTTCCATTACAGGCATCGGTTAACCAGTGTGCACGTGCATATCTTATATGTTTAAAATACACATTGTTTAATGGCATGCTGTCTTCATTGACTACAACTTTTAAGCTATCATTAGTCTCCCAATGTCATTGGAGAATTAGATTCTACCATGGTTATAAGTTGTTATATATGAAGTGAAACAATTAAATGATTCAAGAGAAGACAGGGGAAAAAGGGAGAATGAACTGTAGGTGGAGTCTGTTTTCTTTACAGGAAAGAAAAATAAGTAAAGGACTTTTTATTTCGTTAGAGAGCGCTTACTTTTAGAATGGACTTCCCTGAGGATAGGTGATTCATTCCTTTCCCCCGTGATTCTGGAGGTGAAGGCTCTTGTAGTTGTGTAAGCTGGCAGGACAGCAGATTATGGAGTCTGTCCTGGACAACCATGCCTGTTCTGTCACCTGGATGGTCACGCCAGGAAGCCCTCTCAGGACCCTCAGCAGACTCTACTTTCTATATCAGACTCGTGTTTCTCTTTGACTTGCAGTTTTCTTTCCCCACTGTAAGCTCCATGAGGGGAGGGAGGGTGACTGGCTTTGTTCACCACTGTATCTTTGGTATAAAAGGACAGCATTACGTGTTAGTTGAATGGAAGATGACATCAATACAAAAGGTTTAAGAGCATGGTGATCACAGGTGTGCATCAAGTGGGGCTTGTTCCTTCGAGAAATAAGAGGTTGCCCCCCCCCACCCCCGGAGGCAAAAGCATATTTCACTGACATTTACACCTTTGACCCCTCACATGTCACCAGATTTTACAACTCATTTACAATAGTGTCTGGGAAAGACTGCAGCCTCATAAATAACTTGGCAAGTTAAGGCTAAAGAAAAACAAAAACAGAAACAGTTGAAGAATTAGTCACTTGTTTTAAAAAACTCATTTCACGATGCATTTTCTTCTTTCTTATTAAAGAGGCAGGAAGCTCAGTGTGTATAAATCTTTAATGTTAAGCATACCCGTTTGAAATGAGGACAAGTTCTTAAACATCCCCATGAAGCAATCTCTTCATGAAAGTTTATGCTGTGTTGGGAAGAGCATGTGCTAATGTAAGTGGGATACACAGGGAAGAAAGAGCACTGCAGAAGGAAAAACAAACCTTAACTGTAATCTCAAATAATGACTGATGGGTGTATGGCTGGTTTGGGGGTAGAATTCTCAAATGATGACTGATAATTATGCAAGAAATATTAAGGATGTTAAAAAAACATAAGCAGTCTTTTACATTTCTATTGACAACTTAACTGTGTACCCTGGCAATCAGAACGTGGTGTTAAAGTTCATTTTCAAGGACTTGAAATAAAAAGGCAAATAGCAAAGCATATGCCAAAGCAGGCTGCTTATGAGTAACTTCTCAACTGGGGACTCTGCCTTTGTGAGAGAAATATCAATAAGGAAGCTTCTTACATAA